GTGAGCTTAGACAGCTCAGGAAGAGAATTCAACAGAGGGGACCATTCTGGGTGGGGATGTATCTGGCATGTTCAAGAAATGGAAAAAAGTCATCCAGGCTGGAGTGAGTTCTGTAGGTTAGGAGTGTTCTAGATTAATTTATAGGAGATGGGGTTAGATTAGAAAGGGCCGAGTCAGAGAAGTTTCGCTCTCAATCTGAATGAGATGGAAAGACATTGTAGGGTTCTGAGCAAAAATTCTAATTTCACATTTAAAAGGAACACTGTGCCCATAATGCAAAGGACATTGGCAGAGGCTGGGAGACCAGACAGGAGGCTGTGGCCACAATCCATGTAAGATATCATGGTAGCAAGGACTCAAGCAGTTGCAATGGAGAAAGTGAGAATTGGTGGGATTCTGGTTATGCCCTGAAAATCTTTCCAGAGTCAAAACAATATACACAAACATACTTGTATGTGGACCTAATGATTGGTGATAACCAGTAGAGTTTTCAAGGTCAGTCAAAGACATTGGACAGAACAATCAATGCAAAATCAATAGTCTCTTATCCAGAAAACTATGAACAAAGAGCAGAAAGGGTTAACTTAATGAAACTCTAAGTCTTTTGAGTGAAGGTTTTTAAATAAGTAGTTGATTACTATTACAAATATCACAAAACGCTTGGGACCAGAAGTGTTTTGGAATATTCAAAAATACAAAATGTGATATCTTGGGGATAGGACCCAAGTCCAAACACAAAATTTATTTATGTTTCATATATGCCTTATATATATTCCCTGAATGTAAATGTATTATAACATTTTTAGTGCACCTGCGTCTTGACTATGATCCATCACCTGAAGTCAGGTATGGAGTTTTCTACTTTAATTCACATCAGTGTTCAAAATGTTTTAGATTTTGGAACATTTCATATTTAGGTTTTCAGATCAAGAAGACTCAGCCTGTTAAGTGTAAGTGTTCATAGTCCAAAAATTTATAGAAATTAAACTTGAATTAGTCATTATGCTTATTGTCTGATTGAATAATGAAGTTCCTTCTTTTCTAAATTCTAGTCCACAAACTATTATGAATTGCAAATCCTTATTTCTAGAATGCAGAACTTGTTAAAGGTCATGGGCACTACTCAGGGGAGTTAGGAGGGCCTAACAAAGAAAGGAATGACGTTGTTGGTGGTTTTGGTTCTATAGGTTTTCCTTGAGTTTGACATTCTAATTATAATTCAAGGTGAACAGATACTTCCACATCACAGACTGAGGGAAAGGATCTGGTACAAAAACAAGAAACTCAGTCAATCTGATTTCCCTTGGTGAATACCACCATCCTGGGTACCCACTCTTAAAAACTTTCCTGATGGAAAATAAGGAACATATGGCCCTTTGCCACCACAACCTGGCAGTTCCATGGGTTGGCTCTGCCATATTGTTCATTTCTGCCTCCTGATTCCTAGCACAGTGCCTGGCATCCAGCAGATTCTCAATAAACATTCTTGTTGCATAAATAAACAATTAAAGGAATGAAGGGCCAAATCTTCTTTGACATCATTCTATCCCTTTATAGAATGAATATTACAATAACACACAAGTAATTTTATGCTATCCCTCAGGCCCTTGATGAAATTTTATCCCTCACCCCATTTGCTATAGAGGCTTGGTCAAGTTCTCATAGCCTCTCTGTCTTGGCGTCTTCATTCATAATATCAGGATAATAATACCAAGTTCCCAGTCTTGTTGAGAAGATTAAGATGATGCATGGAAAGAACTTAACACAGAGCCCCATAATTATTACGTAATATTATTGACATCAAAATGGCATTAGAATTATTCAAACGAGTATTATAAAGATGGCATCTTGTAGATAAACTTTTAAAATATTTCCTTTGTCTTGAAAAATTATATATAAAAGCAGAAAATACAGTGGACCTCCAAGTACCTAATATCCAGTTTCAACAATTATCAGCTTGAGGACAGTCACCCACCCCTATTCTCAACCCTTTGTTATTTTAAAGAAAATCTCAGAATTTATGCCATTTCATTCTTAATACTGCAATATTTTCTAAAAAATAATAATAATAAAATCCTATGTCACAACTAGAAATAACTAATGATGATTCCTTACTTAGATGAATTGTTAGTTTGCTGAAGGCACAAGTAGAACAGAAGAAGAAAATGGATTCTCTCCAAGGCAGAGGCTTGGGTAAGTTCTCTCCAGACACAACACAATGGAAGAACCCATTGTCAAGGTCAAGGTGGACTCTCTACCCTACAGGGTATAGGTGGAAGGCAGGAAGAAAGCCAAGAATGAAGTCTGAATCCAGCATTCCACACTAGAAGCAAGGCAAAACAGAAGTCCCCTGTTAATTATGATTTTCTTTTTACCTACACCAAATAACATAGCATTTGAAACAATTCTGTACAAATTCTTCTGCTTTCAGATTAGTGGGGAAATAGAACTTGATCTTCTCTTTTCATCTACCTTGAGGCACTGTTGGGTTCTATGTAGGTTATTATATTATTCAGCTCATGGAAGGATGATAGGACTGGTTTGGCTTCTAAAACTGGAGAGCTCAAAAGCTCACCCTTTTGGAGAATTCAATTCTTAAATATTCTACATTCTTCCCCCTTCTTTTTTTTTTGCTCTTATTTCTTCTACAAAATCAATAACTCATTAAAAGTCCCAATTTCATTATCTGCTTCTCTACATGTAAAATCTTGACGTAATATATTTCCCCTTTGTTCTTAACTGGAACTCAAAGCAATATGGTATCATCAAAATAAGATCCACTGGTATTGAAGATATTGAACACCAATAGTTGAAACCCAGACTATCAGCCCCCACTTAAAAAAACAAGGTCAATGTAAAGTCTAGAACTGAGTGGGGCAATATCAGCAAGTGAAGGAGGAAGCCAAGCAGGCCAGAAGACAAGGCACACCAACCAGGTAGAAAGTAACATAAGATATGCTGCTCATTTCTTCTTTAAAAGCACAAGTTACCTTATAAGCAATGACAGCTTTAGCTGGGGGGAGATAAGGATCTGGATTGCAGAAGTTTGACACAGCATGAAGGTGTGTGTAACACACCTGGTGTTACACACAAACCGTCCCATGCAGCTCTGGTTACAGAAAGTGTGGGTCACAGCTGTCCCAAGTAACTCTGGAATTTGTTATATGACACTGGTGATAGCTGTGTCCACTGGTCTCTGAAAAAACCCCTAACAAGCTCTGTTCCCAAACTGGTCATAGTTGAGGCTTTCTCTGCAATGGCCCCAGTTTCCCACAAAGCCCCAGAGTCACAAGCCCCCAGTATCTACTTTGCTCTCCTAAGGTGCTGGATCATGGGATTGGGGATAGCAGAGAGGGTCCACCCATGGGAAAACTCCTCTTCTGCTCCTTTCTTTGTCCTCTCCTTTCTCTACAGACTGCCCCTCTCCATCAGCAGCACTCACCCTGACCTTGAGCTCTTCTACACCTTCCCCTTCCCTTCCCAAAGCTCTGGTCTTGGCTAATCTTTGTGATGGAGGTTGGGGTGAGGTGGCTTTCAAGCCACTCTCTGAAACGGTGTCTTTCACTTAAGAAGAAGAAAGTGAAAGAGGAAAATTGAATAGAGTAACATCCCTGACATAACTCTTTATCATCCACATCTCCAGCCTCCACTAAAAAGAAGCTTCCAGAAAGCAGGACAGTGTCTGTCTTACTTGCTGCTGGGAACAGTACCTAGTTTATGGCAGGGCAACAAATATTTGTTAAATGGAAATGAATGAGTGAGTAAGTAAGACCCAGCACCATGTATTCCACACTGAAGGGGCTATTCTATTAAGAACTTGAAAAAGACCAATTGCCTACAAAGACAAAGAAGCCAGATGCATTTCCTCTTTTGACCTCAAGAGCCTCTTTTAATAACAACAACAACAAAAAATCTTCATGACTTTCTTGTGTTTGGAAGTATAATTTTAGTGCCTCTAAAAATGTGTGATAGAAGAAAAATGGTAAGAAAAACAATATAGTGAATCATGGGCAAATAACAGATGACTTAATCCAGTCGGATTTGAAGGAGATATGAAACAGATCTGATGCAGTTCACAGTGACTGAGCTACATGCTGATTCACACTCATTTCTCAAGGGCATCTTGGTTTGACAGGTTTTATCCAGGTTGCTGGAACCCAGAGTATGGGAGTGGAAAAGGGAGCGGCATTAGTTTAGTGGGACCCAAGGCCACCAACAAGAGGGGACCAGTCATAATACAGCAGGAAGCCCTTTGGAAAGTCAAAGAGTGCAGGAAGGCCTGAGGCATCGGAGTTAGGTTAATTGGGGAGCTACCAAAAAAAGAAGAAAGAAAAAGATGGAAAGAATCAGTAAGACTCCACCTTGTGAACAACTGCCAAAGGCCCTAATAGCTGTAATCACGAAGCACATTATTCAAAATCAACTTATTGGCCCAATCCTGGTCCCTGTCAGTCTCTCTTCCTTGCAACTTGCAAAGTCCCTGCCCCTGCCCTCAGGATCTGCTAGCAAAGCTCCAACAAAAACGAGCTTCTACCAAATGTGACTTATAGCAAATTATCTTTTTTACTATTTTTTTTTCAGTACTGGAAATCAAACCCAACGCCTGGTGTATGGTTTATTTTTGTTGTTGCTTGGCTGGTTGGGGTTTTGTTTGTTTGTTTGTCTATTTTTTTGTTTTGTTTTGTTTTGTTTGTTTTTTAACACAAGGTCTCACTAAATTCCCCAGGCTAGCCTTGAACTTGCCATCCTCCTGCCTCAAGATTCCCCAGTTGCTGGGACTACAGGCTACAGGGGTGCAACACTGCACCCAGCTTGAAGTGATTCTCATGCTTTCATTTTATTTAAAATGTTTTGCTAATGCAATGTAACAAAAAAAATTGCTTCAAGGAAACAGCCTGAAAAAAAAGGATGGTCCGCCTGCTTGTGTTAATTTCCTCTTTTGTCCTGAGTTGTCTTCTCATTGAAGGGAACATTGTTGCCAGACCAGTCGCACTTCGACCATGAGGCGAAAACATTGCTTTCTAGGTGTCCTGGTCAGTCTCCTCCTGTCTGGTGGAGAAGGTAAGTGATTCATTTCTTCTTAATTGCCCAATCTCTGTCATCTGAATCTGATAAAAGGACAGTTAGAGATGACACTGATATTTTTCTGGGTTTTGTAAAGATTTTGGCTTTTTTAGTCACTAAATGGTCAGAGCAGACACGGGGTGATCTTCTATGTACAGCATGAGTAACTCTATAGGTACCTAAGGAGTGTCTATTAAAAGGAGGCACTGTTGCGGGCACAAGGAACTTCATTTGGAACAAATGTGCATGCATCTGTCTCTCTCTCTCTCTCTCTTTAAAATTTCTTTTGCCTTGAAGGGACACTGTTGCTTAGTGATGATGAGAGCAGGCCTCCTAAGCCAGAATGTCAGAGTCTGGATTTCAATTCTGCCATTTACTACCTGTGCCTCAATTTTCCCCTCAGTAGAATGAGGATTGAAGGTCATTGTGAAGATCAATGAGTTAATATATGTGCCAATTTCCATACAGTAGTGCTTGGCACAGAATAGGGACCATAAGCAACTTGTGAGAATTCACTACTGATGTTAACAGAGAACCCTCCAAGAGTTATTACCACAACATGCCTCAGAGCAAGGCCATTGGAATCCCAGGTCAACACATGGTATCTCTCAGTGTAAGGGGCTTAAGAAAATTCCCATGACGGTACAGTTGTCCAGGAATGATACATAAAAGTAATTCAGAGCTCTCTCTTCCAGAAATCTATGAATTAGCATATACTATTTCTCTGGTCCTTAGTAACAAGAACTCAGTTTCCAGGAATTCCAGGGCTACCAAAATGACCCTGGTTCTACATCTTGCTGGGCTTGCTTTAGACCTCAGTTTCCCCATCTGAAAAGGTTATAATAAAAATACCTATGTCATTTGGTGGCTGTGGGAATTAAATGAGTTAACAAGTTTTGAGCACAGAGCCTGATTTTAGTTGATGGCTCATATGAATGCCAGTTCAATGTTCACTGAATGCCAGTCACAAGGAGGAGGTGGAGGGAGGAAGAAAGAGACTCCTAGCAAGGTGAACATGTGGCCTTGGTGTGGAGCATTCATCCCAGTCATTATATCCCATCTCCATCTGGAAGGAACGAAGGGCCATAATCTTTCAATGAGATTTATTTCCCTTACAGCTTGGGGAGTAGGTGGAAGAATATCTCATACATTTTGATAGTCTGGAGCACGTCATTCTGAAACCTCACATTGGGCTTGAGAGTAGAGACCTTGCCTGGTATGCAGGAGGCCCTCAGTTCTATCCCCCAGAACTGAAAATTAAAAAGAAGAAAAGAAACTATATCATGAAACAAAATCATCACATTGAAGGGTCAAAAATGTTGATTTCTGGGCCACCTACACTTAGTGTGACTAGGGAACCCTGATGCAGATATTATAGTAAAAACTACTATTAATAACAATAGTGTTCAGAGTCATGTTCAGTGTTTTTCCTTCTTTTTATTAGGAATTCTGCCAGCCCGTGATTCTCTGAAGCCTCAGAAGGTACAGTTTCAGTCCCGAAATTTCCAGAACATTTTGCAATGGCAGCATGGGAAAGCACTTACTGGCAACAACAGTACCTATTTTGTGCAATACAAAATGTAAGTAAATTGAGCTTCTTCCCCTAGCAGAGAAGGCCACAGGGACAGCATGTTCTGGAATGCAATGGGGTGTTAGGATCTAAGCTTTCATCTGAGGGGCTTCAAGGGGGTTGAAAAGAAGCAGAGGTAGGGTGACTCATCTTCCCTGAAAGCTGTCTGGGAACTTGAAATGCATGATGACATGCAGTCATTAGGGGAGATGCTACAGCCTAGCAAACAGCACCAAGACTATGACTCCACAATGGTGCTTGGTACAGGGTGAGCTCTCAATAGACATTTGTCAAAGGAATGTTGAAAGTTACTTGTTTAGCACATGGCCAGTACTCCAGGGAAATGATTGATAGTTGAAATAATCCTGTGGTAAACATTAAGATGAGTGCATGATATGTTTTAATCTAAAAATCCATTTTAAGAGTGGGTTCACTGTTTAGAAAATTCTTTTCAAACATTAATGACTCTTGTACACATGAACACATACTGGAACAAGCTGATGCATGCTCCTCTCCCTGTGATCTTTAAGGTAATCTTATAAGATCCTTGCCAACACTCAGAGATAATAAACTCCTTTCTTGGATCAAGATTTAGAAACAGACCATCTTGATTTGGAAATGGCAGGCTTTCCCACTCGTGTATTCCCTGTGGGTTTTTGAGGCTCTTCTTCCCTTGACACGGTTCGAGATGCTGGCTGAGCATGAGACAGAGGGTCATCACAATTTAGCTTTTACATTTTTTCATCAGAAATTCAGAAAATCAGATGTAGACATGAATCAAGGTAGCAATTCTTATTCCATAAATACATCTGTGTTTTCCAATATGGGATAAGTCCTAGAACAGATTTTTCCTATTAATTAATTCCAGAAAGAATATCCCCAGAATTTTCTTGTTTAATTGCTCCAGCTTTTCTCTAAGTACTTTGTATAGTAATTGTAAGATGTAAAAATCATTACAATAAAAGGTTCTCCACTACAAAAAAAAATTACATCTGTGCACAATTGGGGATGTAATTCCAGCATATAGAAACTAGAAATTGGTACTTTTATTTATGTATTTATTTATTTTTACCATGAAGTTAATGAAGATTAAATTTCAAGTCCTCATGGAAGAATTTTTAGTCTGTGATTCTTTTTTCTTTAAGAGGGCTCCCAAGCTTATATAAATTTCAGAACTCAGAATACCTGGATCCATTCCTGACTCCATAGGAATTGTGCTATAAATAGAATTAATTTCTATTAATTAATTGTGCTATTTTCAGCAGCACAGTGCAGATTTATAATTTGGAAAACTTTCACTTTTGTTGCATCCGATTTACGTGGGTCTACTGTTAATATCTGTGTCATTTGGGATGTGGCAAAAATGAGGTATTATATTAAAAAAGAGGTCTTGACACCTAACTTCAGCTACCAAACACAAGGTCTCATCAATAAACAACAATTAAAAAATATCAAATTGTGCTCCATATGTTGGTTCTGTTTTAATCCTACTGTAATGAGACTGCTGTTATTGTATAGATTAGGAAGAGAAAGAACAGCAATATTCCTCATTATATAGCTAGAAAGTTAAGATTCCAAGTCCTTCAACAAATATTTTGGGGAGGCTTCTCTCTGGCCTCCACTTCCTGCTCTGTTCCCCCACCATCACCCCTGGCTGAGATTTGTGACTAGTAAGGATGTAAAGCCTACCCATCCCCTGGCCTCAGGCTGAGCCAACCTGTTTGCTTCTTGGCCTTACCACCCTTTTGTACAGGAGCCTCTGTCTCTCTCTTTCTAACCGCTGCTCACAGGGCTAACCATGGAGCACTCACTACTGTTTCCATTCTATTGTCAATAAAGATATAAGCTATGTGCATTCAGTAAGCATCATCTAAGTGGCAGCAACTTCTCAGGCTCAGCTGTGTTACTCACTAGCAAGCTGATGAGAAGAGGAAGAAAAGCCACATACTTAAAACCTCAGAAGCATTACAGATGTGGAGGATGACTACTTAAAAATGGAAGTTTATCCATACATCAGAATACTGCTCAGTATTTATACACACACACTTATCTTAGTGATACAGAAGTTGTCAAGGTTGAATTCATCTTTCACCAAGCTAGCATTTAACAAGAATTTTAAAAACATTTTTTGTGGCTGGGGATGTGGCTCAGTGGTGGAGGGCTTGCCTAACATGTGTGGGGCACTGGGTTTGATCCTCAGCACCATATAAAAACCTTTATTTATTTATTTATTTTGATGTCCACCTACAACTAACAAATATTTTTTAAAAATTCTTAAAGATAGCTGTAAGTGTTCACAATGGTAATAATGTTAGAGGGCAGGTTTCAAGCTTTCTAAAAAATTAATACACTGGAAAAAAAAAAAAACCCTGAAGATTCCTTTAATGAAGAAAAGAAATGCAGATCTTGCTCTTTTCCTCTCTCCAGGTATGGCCAGAGACAATGGCAAAATAAAGAGGACTGCTGGGGGACTCCAGAACTCTTTTGTGACCTTACCAATGAAACCTCGAATCTGCAGGAACCTTACTACGCAAGGGTGAGGATGGCCTCTGCTGGGCACTACTCCGACTGGAGCTTGTCACCGCGCTTCTTTCCTTGGTGGGAAAGTGAGTTCTTCCCATGCACTTTTTTTGCCTTTGCTCTTTCTGCCTTTGAACAGCCTCCAGGGCTTGGCCAGGTACTGCTAGGTGGAGGTCTACCCTGGTCTTATTTAATCGTGTTCTCTGAACAATCTAGGGATATCTTCTATTACTCTGATCCAACAGACCAGGAAACCAGGCTCAGTCCTTGCTCAAGTTTCCCAGTGTGGGTTACCAGAATCAGGATTCAAACCCTGTTGCCTCTGACTACAGAGCCTTCCCTCTCACACGTTGCCAGATTGATGCTTCTATTGAAAAAGTATTTTTAGAGAGCAGAGAAGAAGCCATATTGTCCAACACTTCCCCAAATAAGAGAGTTAAGTTCCTGAAAATGCCTACAGGAGAAGAATTTTATTTTGAGGAAACAAAGATTTTTTAGACACCTCCCCAAAAGGAGAGACAAAAGCGCTCTCTAGGAATACATTTCTGGGTGATGTTTATTTCTCTTTTAGCTTAATCATAATCACAGAATAATATAGTATAGTCTAAGATGTAAAATATAAAATAAGCCATTACCAACAGACCTTGTATAAAATATTAGTGGAGAGGGAGGGAGAAAAACTAAAACTCTTAATGTACAGGTATTGTCTATGTAACAAACCAGGAAAAAAAATGCAGGCATTTAGCACAATTCTCACAGTTGCAAAGAGTCATGAAGCTGTAGTTAATATTTTCTTTTCACATTATTAACTCAATGTGCACTTTCTTTTTCACAATAAGGAGTTCTTTCAGTCTTTCTGGTGTTAGTTAACTGACATAATCTTACATTAGTTTTATCACCAAATATTAAAGCCCTGAGAGGCCCTCCAGAGGATGCCAGGCATGACCTGACCCCGTTGTGCTCAGAACAACTCTGTTTCCCTTGATCATCAGAATGAATCACTGTAGACAATGCAAGAACCTTATTTTCCTTATTATGGTCAAGAGGCAGCCTCTGCTTCCAGGTCTTGAAATTATTCTTGTTATAAACCACAAGAATTAAAGGTCAAGCCTACAGGAAACAAAAAGTTTATGGTTTGTTCACTATATGCCCCTCTCACTTCCACTTTTGTATCCTAGATCAGAAAGACATAGCACCTTATTTTGGTCACAGGCTTAGAGCTTATTTATATCAATTCAAATATCACCTTACAAGGTGTCTTTCAAACTGAGTTTTCAGGTGTCCATTTCAGCTTCCTGTAAAGTCAGGAATTTCTGAGTGGTGGAATATATGGTAAGGCCAAACATTACTGTGGGTATGAGACTTTGTTTCACTTCTTCCATATTAACGATTTCTTTGTCTTAAGCAATGTATCGTGGGGGAATCTGGTCATGAATAAGGTGTTCACTACGTCCATGGGCATGCTGTGGTAGAGAGGAATCTGCTGATAAAAAGCATTAAAGAAGTAAAGAAAAACTGAAATAAAGACCATTAAACTAGAAGTGTCTATTCCAATGCCTCTTATCCCCTTCCAGTGGGAAGAGACCAAAATAAACAAGTAAATAAAAGTCTGCCTGCAACCAGGTGGCAGATAACAGCCACCAGAGTGTGTCTCTGTTCAGCACTGGTCTTTACTAGGAAGCTGTATACTCAGCAGGGTCAGCACAACCTTTTTGAGAAGTTCATATTGTTGAGTTTATATACAGATGCTCTTCAACGGGTGGTAGAGCTACGTCCTGATAAACCCTCTGTACATTGAAAATATCATAAAACTGCATTTATTGCCCCTAACCTAACAATGGCCTATCAGTACAGCCCACCATGGAGTGCTAGTTTGTTTCCCCTCATGGTCACAGGGCTGAATGGGAAGCACAGCTCCTGGGCTGCATGGCATTTCACTAGCATGGAAAAGGAGAAAAATTCAACATTTGGAGAATAGGTTCTGATGAATTTGTATCACTTTCACCCCACTGGAAAGTAAAAAAAAAAAATATGAGTCAAACCACTATAAACCAAGGACTGTACGGGCTCCACCCACTTCACACACCATCTTGTTCTTGAATCCGCAGAGTAGTAATGATGGCACTTGGGGGAAATAGGCTGTCACTATGCCTTCCTAGGTATTTTAAAAAGTTTTATTGAGATTAAAATTCACATACCTTATAATTTACCCATATAATATATAAAATTCATTAGTTTTAATGTATTCACATATATGTATAATCATCAACCTATAGTGGATTTTAGGACACTTGTATCACCACCTCAAAAAAAAAAAAAAAAAAAAAAAAACCATGGTCTCTAGCTATCACCTCTCTATCATCTCCCCAACACCCCAGCTCTAAGCTATAACTGATCTACATGCCAGCACTTTACAGCTTCCTGTTCTATGTGGAATCCTATGTAGTCTTTTGTGACTGACTTCTTTCAGTGAGCATCCAGTTTTCAAGGTTTATTTGTGATGTAGCATGCATCGATGCTTCATTCCCTGTAGGCCAAATGATACTACATCATGTGGATGTCCCACTATTTATGCACCCGCTCCTCAGTTGATGGACATTTGGTTTGTTTCTGCCTTTTGGCTGTTATGAATTATATGCTATAAACATTAATGAATGCAAGTTTTCATGTGGGAATATATTTTTGTTTCTTTTGGTTATATATGTAAGAGTGGAATTGCTGGGTCTCGTGATAACACTATATTTAACCATTTGAGGATCTGGCAGACTGTACCAGTTCTCATCCCATCAACAGTGTATTAAGTTTCCAATTCCTTCATGTCCTTAGCAATACTTACTATATGTCATTTTGATTATAGCCATCCTAGTGGGTATGAAAAAGTATCTCCTGTGATTTTAACCTGGTGATTTAGAATGTTGAGTAACTTTTCTTATACTTATTAGCCATTTATATATCTCCCTTGGAGAACCATGCATTCAGATCCTTCACCCAATTTTAATTTGATTATTTATCTTTTTATTTTTGTGTTATAAGAGCTCATTTTATATTCTGGATACCAGTCCTTGATTGGATATATGATTTTCAAATATTTTCTTTCATTCTGTAGGTTCTTTTCACTTTCCTGATGCTGTCATTTAAAATATAAAAGTTTTACTTTGATGAAATACAATTTAGCTTTTTTTTTTTCTTGATCACTATGCTTTTGGTGTCATACTTGAGAATACTTTGCCAAATCCAAGATCATTATGGTTTATCCTATATTTCCTTCTAAGCATTTTATAGTTTCACCTCTTACATCTAAGTCTTTGATTCATTTTGAGTTAGTTTTTTTAAAAAAAAATATGATGTGAGGTAAGGATTCAATGTCATTTTTTAATATGGCTATTCTGTTGTCCCAGCATCATTTATTGAAAAGACTAGCATACCCCCTTGAATGATGCCAGCAACCTTGTTGAAAATAAGTTGAAAAATGTTTATTTCCAGACTCAATTCCATTCCATTGATTTATAAATGTATCATTTTGCCAGAACCATGCTGTCCTGATTACTGTTGCTTTGTATTATGTTTTGAAATTGAAATGGTGAGCCCTCCTACCTTGTTCCCCCACCCTCAAGATTATTTTGGCTATAATGAGACCCTTGCAATTCCATAGTCATGTAGACCTTTTATTTAAATACTTCCTGTCAGTAGGTGCTTATTGTTTTTCTTTCATATGGACACCAAAATATTAACATTCTAGATCTTAATACTGATAAAAGAAAATTACTGAGATGTCCTAAATTTAATTATAAAGGTCCAGAGAATGGAAGGAAGGAGAAAAGAGGAAAAGTTAATCAATATCATATACTGAAAAGAACAACATTACATTCTTCAATGTATGTTAGAACCAATTCCCATCAAGACCAACCAGTCTCTTGGGCCACAGTGTCCTGTTACCTGTAGTCTTTCTGGACTATTCACACCAATAAATCTAGAAGCAACAATTACTTTTTCTTGTGGATTGCCCTCCCATCCCAAAGCTATCACCACTTCAAATAGTCCCACCCCTTTACCTATAACCAATGTAGGCTCAACTTAAACAGTACTTTCCTTTCCCCTAAGTTTACAAAAATACCCATAGTTTTAGATCTAGCAGATATTTTCTACCTGCTACCTAAGCTTGCTACTAATAGTTGTAGGATTGACCCAGATCCTTTTTTCATTATGGTTTACCCTGTATTTTACTCTGCATCTATAATGACTCAGCAAATGCTTTTACTTCAGAGATCCCTTGGTGACATAGAGTTTTGGTTTAATAGCACTGAGGGGTCCATCCATATGCCTCTTCTAACCGGTGTGATGTCCAGTTAAATCCAAATTAATTGGGTCATGTCAAAAATGCTGAATGCAATAGAATTCAGAAAACATCTCTTTCTTTTGCTGTGTTGTTTGTTTTATTGTTTTGTGTATTTTGTTTTCCAACTCTCTAATTAGCAGACAGGAGAAACAGGAATTGAGCAAACCAATATGTGGTCTCTGGTACATGCTTTCTTAGGAGAACTTGAAATTCAAGCTCAAGGTACTCAACCAACAATTCTCTGGTTGAGGAAAAGGTGGTTGCATGAGGAAGCTGGTTTACACTAGCTGAGGGGAATTTCAGAGTGGTTGGACGACTAGGTGCAAGTCTAGAAATAGGTTCCAGTCAAATTACTCATCAAACAAAGCTTTCTCCAGTCTAATCAATTAGGCTACTCAGGTAGGAATAACAAAATACATTGGTTGAGATGAGGGGAGATTTTGGCACAATTTTGTTTAAATTTGAATAGTGTTAAGAAAGGTTTAGTTTCTTTCTGTGTGACTACCCTCTAAAAAAAAAAAAAGAAAAGAAAAGAAAAAAGTTTTGGACGTGGTTTTAAAAGTCTTTTTATGCCAGGGCCTAATAGGTAAAAGAATAAGAAATTCAGTCAGTTAAAACAGTTAAAATTGCAGCTTCTCTCAGGAAGCAATCTTGAGGAGCCCTGCCCACTTGGCTCTCCTCATCCTCCAACTTGGCCCTCTCCTCCCACAGCTCCTGAGTCTTTCTGAAAAACCTCTTTTAAGAAACATGCTTTTCAGATCGTAGGGCAACATGTTTGCAGAGCCTGTGATACAAGATCATGAGTCACCTGTATGCATTGGCTCACTGGAGACCTGTTTTTGACCTGCAGAATATTATCTGAAGTTTTGATTCCTGGTGTCTATCTGGAGACAAAACAAGATTTTTAAAAACCTTAAGTTAAAAATAGAATTTGATGCTCAGTATAATTTCAATATTATCTGAACCCAGAATTTATTGGATTAAAAATGCATATGGCTGGGGCTGGGATGGTGGCTCAGTGGTAGAGCGCTTGCCTAGCATGTGTGAGGCACTGGGTTTGAGTCTCAGCACCACATATAAACAAATAAATAAATAAAGATAAAAAAATGCATTTGGACTTTTGGACTAGGTCTGATATGGTAATGAGGTAAACTACTGTCAGATTTGCGCCTTTGTTCATTCTGAAATTACTCCAGGCATTCTACTAAGGCATTTTACTAAGTTCCAGAGGAAATATGGCAAGCACAGCAGAACAGAGAAGTTCCTTTCTTTCTAGAGCTTTCTGTTTAATAGGAATGACAAATATTAATAAACTAATCGTGCATCCATAAAACAATACTGTGGCAGATGGTACAAGGGAATGATGTACAGTGTCATGAAACTCCCTAGACAAGGAGGGACTTGGTCAGGGATATCAGGAAAAGCATCTCTGAGAAGTGACACTTGAGCTGATATCTAAAGAGAAATACGGTTAATCAGACAAATGGTTGAGTAGAGCATTCCAGACAAATGGAGCAGTATTTATAAAGACCCTTTGGCAGGAGGAAGCAAAGCAAATATATATATATATATTTATAGCAAGTGTATATATGTATATAACAAAATATTTCATACTTATATGAATATATATTCATATAAATTTATATTTATATATAATATATTTACATGTCTTATATAAAATGTTTATTTTTTAAATTCTTTTTTAAAATTTTTTTATTCTAATTTGTTATGTATGACAACAGAATGCATTACAATTCATATTACACATATAGAGCACAATTTTTCATATCTCTGGTTGTACACAAAGTAGAGTCACACCATTTATGTCTTCATACATGTACTTAGGGTAATAATGTCCATCTCATTCCACCATCTTTCCTACTCCCATATCCCGTCCCTTCCCCTTCCTCCCCTTTTTTGTCTAATCTACCCATGCTCCCTGCCCAAACCCCATTATGAATCAGCATCCTTATATCAGAGGAAACATTTGGCATTTGGTTTTTTGGGATTGGCTAACTTCTCTTAGCATTACATTCTCCAACTCTATCCATTTACCTGAAAATGCCATGATTTTATTCTCTTTTAATGCTGAGTAATATTCCATTGTGAGATATACCACAGTTTCTTTATCCATTCATCTATTGAAGGGCATCTATTTTGCTTCCACGGTTCAGCTGTTTTGAATTGAGCTGCTGTAAACCTTGACATGGCCACATGACTATAGTATGCTGATTTAATTCCTTTGGGTATAAAACTAGGAGTGGGATACCTGGGTCAAATGGTGGTTCCATTCCCAGTTTCCAAAGGAATCTCCATACTGCTTTCCAGATTGGTTGCACCAGTTTGCAGTCCCACCATCAGTATATGAGTGTACCTTTTCCCCTACATCCTTGTCAACATTTATTGTTGTATGTATTCTTGATAGCTGTCATTCTGACTGGCATGAGACGAAATCTTAGAATAGTTTTGCATTTCCCTGATTGCTAGAGATGTTCAACATTTTTTTCATATATTTGTTGACTGATTGCATATCATCTTCTGAAAAGTGTCTGTTCTGTTCCTTGGCCCATTTATTGATTGGGTTATTTGTTTTTTTGGAGGTAAGATTTTTAAGTTCTTTATATACCCTAGAAATAGTGCTCTATCTGATGTGCGTGTGGTAAAATTGCCCCCCAAATGTTGGCTCTCTATTCACCTCACAGATTATTTCTTTTGCTGAAAAGAAGCTTTTTAGTTTGAATCTATCCCATTTATTGATTTTTAATTTTAATTCTTGCGCTAAAGGAGTCTTATTAAGGAAGTTGGGGCTAATCTCACATGATGGAGATTAGGGCCACTTTTTCTTCTATTAGGCACAGAGTCTCTGGTTTAATTCCTAGCTCCTTGATCTATTTTGAGTTGAGTTTTGTGCTTGGTGAGAGATAGGGATTTAATTTCATTTTGTTGCAATGTGGATCTCCAGTTTTCCCAGCACCATTTGTTGAAGAGGCTATCTTTTCTCCAATGTATGTTTTTTGGCACCTTTGTCTAGTATAAGATAACTATAGTTATGTGGGTTTATGTCTCTGTGTCCTCTATTCTGTACCATTGGTTACAAGTCTATTTAATGCCAATACCATATTGTTTTTGTTACTATTGCTCTGTAGTATAGTTTGAGGCGTGGTATAGTGATGCCGCCTACTTTACTCTTCTTGCTAAGGATTGCTTTAACTATTCTGGGTCTCTTATTTGTCCAGATGAATTTCATGACTTCTTTTTCTATTTCTATGAGGAATGTCATTGGTAATTTGATTGGAATTGCATTAAATCTGTATAGTGCTTTTGGTAGCATGGTCATTTTGAAAATATGTTTATGTTTGAAATTTTTTCATCACTTTAACAGTATATTTTGATAAATTATGATTTTTTTCATCATTTTAACAGTATATTTTAATAAACAGAAGTTCTTAGTGTAATCCAATTTATCATTAATTTCCTTTGTCATTAGTACTTTAGGGGCCCACCTCCCCCCAAAGAATAAAAAATATTCTCCTATGTTAGCAAATATCACCAAACATTTTCTATAAAAGATCCAATAGGAAATACCTTAGGTTCTGTGGGCCACGTGTGTCTGTATTGCAACTACTCAGCTTTTCATTGTGGTGCAAAAGCAACCATAGACAGTTTGAGAATGAAAAGGTTTGGCTATGGTCCAATGAAACTTTATTTACCAAAACAAACAGGCCAAATTTGGCTTATAGGCTGTAGTTGCTGAGAATTATTGCTTTTATCCAACCAGACTTGATTTTGCAAATGAGTAGTTTAGAGAAACAAGATTTTCCCTCCAAATTGATCCAATCTCACTTATTAAAAAGACCAGTTACTCCATGGAACTGTACTATGGACATAAATCAAATCATATCCAGGTTGTGTTGTGTTGCCTTCACTAGGTTTCTGAATGCAATAGTGATCTGTCAGGATGCATAATGTGTTCACATGAAAAATTTCATTTTCTAAGTGGTTTGTCAAAATTTCTATTCTTTTTCCAGTGAAAATAGATCCTCCAGTTGTAAACATAACCCAAATAAATGGGTCTTCATGGGTGGTACTCCATGCTCCACATTTGCCATATAAAGAACAAAAAGGAAAAAATATATCAATAGAAAATTACTACAACCTACTATACCGAGTTTTTATAATTAAAAATTCACTGAAAAAGGTAAGATTGGATGAACAGATAAGTTTAATACTTTTTAATTTGTTCACATAACTAACACATTGACCATATTATTTTCCTGTCTTTTGCTACTCATTCCTCTATTTTTTCTTTTATTTTCTTGTTCTTTCTCACTTTAACCTTCGTTGAGAAGGAATCAGTGCTAGGATTACCATTTGAATTTCTGTGTGTGCATGTGTGTACAAGTATGTTGTGTGTGTGTGTGTGTGTGTGTGTGTGTGTGTAAGTGCATGCTTATGTGCCCTTTCACTCAGCTTGTCTCCACTTGGTCTTCCTTGCACATCTAGAAACTAGTATTGACAATATTTCATTCCACTTGACCGCCACAGATGTTCTTTTTGTGGGTTTTATATGCTTTATTTACTTGAGTAGCTTTTTTATCACAGCACAATATATTTGTACCAATTTTGCTATTAGAAAATCCATCATTTGGTGCCTTTATTTGGATGTAGTGATGAACTGAATGTTTCTTTTGGTGGTGGTGGGGGGGTCCATCTAAGACAGGATTACTTTGATTGTAAGGAAGAAAAATCCTGTTCAAATTCACTGAAATGCAAAAGCAGAGGAGTTTTACTAGGAGATAACAAGCAATCTCATGGACAGCCAGAAACAGGAAACCATTCTTCTCACTTCACAGTTTAAATTCTTGAAAAAGAGACTCTGATATTCGAGCTAATCCATCAACAGTCCTCCGGGAAGTCTCGGGTAGAAGCTACTTGGCCACTGGACCAGTCCCTTTACCAAGTTGCAGCCCAGGACTCTGGGGAAAGAGGATGTGTCTAAGAAGGAACCCTACAACCCATCAACTAGGGTACCATGACAGCTAACTGAATTTAACACAGGTAGAGCTTATCATGACTCACTGGAAATCATTTATCTTATGATTTTTTTTCTTCCCCTTGTATATAGGAGCAACAAGTATATGAAGGGGCTAATGGTGTTGCTGAAATTGAAGCTCTCACGCCTCACTCTGGCTACTGTGTAGTGGCTGAAATATATCTGCCCATGTTAGACAGAAGAAGTCAAAGAAGTAAAGAGAGGTGTGTGGGAACCCCATGACTTATTATGGAGTGCTCCGCAGTATGGAAATCAAAAGCTTTCTGAGGATGGGAAGGATCATGTTTAAGAATTTTTTGAAAGTCTTTTCCATGTTTTCTTTAAGCAATGTTCACTGTTACATTTCAGGCACTTATTTTATTTTTCCATTGTTTCTTTCTTAATATTTCACTTGTGAACAAAATTTGACTGACACCCTTCAAAAATTAGAATTTAAAGAAGGTAAAGAATAAAGGGCTCTGTGAAATACAGTAACTTATTTCTGATTGTAACATCCTGAACAATGATCTTCATTCTCCTAAAACAGCAAAACAAAATCTAAGAACCAAAGAATAGTAGGCATTCAATAAAAGTATTGAATGAATTTTTTCAAAATAGAATTACAGGCTGAGAGACAAACCTTAAGAATCATTTTTCACTCTGTTGAGTCAGTTAATTTGACATAGATATTCCAATTTAACATTTTTATACAAATGTTTATCTATGCATTTCTATTTGATATAATTATACTTTTCCTATATTTATTTTTTATTATGAAATATTTCTATTTAATGACCAAAATTTTGTTTTAAGTCCTATTCTGTATATATAAGAACAGTTTTTTGAAAAAAAAATGCTCATGATCTCTGGATTAATATCTAGATTATTAACAATAACATCTAAACATCAAGAGAGGCCCACTCAATGTAATTTCCCCCAATTAACATGTAATTACATTAAGATTTTCTTTTTTGTTTTGGTTTGGTTTTAATATTGTCTTCAAAGAATATATCTTTATTCCAAAAATTAAGTGTAATATTTCTCAAAAAGAAAAAGAAAATTTACCTCCCCATTTGGACCACAATAACAGCTCAACCCTCCTGGCAAAGGGTGTCTTGCTGAAAACCCCTTCATCCTTGCTGGTGGAGGATCTTATGAATAAAGGTGTAATTGGGACTCACTGGAGTCCCTGGAGAGAACTTGGCTTGAATCTAAGGCACACAGATGGTGGTCATTTTGTTTGGGATACTTTTGGAGATTATAGGGATAATCAGAGTCCTCCAACCACACACACCTCTAAAGACCAGTGGCCTAAAGCTCAATAAAGTCATCTTCACTCGGGGCTAAGTTCTTATATATGTTTAAGGTTGTCTACCTTGTGAGGTGTGGATCAGAGAACACTTGAATAATTTCTCATAAAAAATTGTGCCAAATGTGATTGTAAAACAATATAACTAGTACTTCTGATTGTATAAAATTAGTCACAATAATAAATGGATTTTCAATTATTCAGAAATGTATGGGGTGGGATAGAAGAAAAAGAGTTAGAGAATTGATTTCATTGCTTTTCCATATGCCCAGGAGCATAGACTTAGAGACTGAAAAAAAGAATTTTATGTTTTTGAATTGTGGATTTTATTTTTTTTATATTTAGCTTATTATTTGGCTATTATTTTTGCCTTTTATCTTTCTTAGGGAGGGGAAAAAATAGGAGCAATGGGGTGGGTGTGGAGTAGGGATCATTTGTGGCCAACAGCATTTAAGAAGGCTGACTTTTGGGAAAAAAAAAATTATGGTTGCTTTGTGAAAGTTATCAAGTAGCATCAAATTTTATCTTAATTTTAATTGCTTTGCTTTTTTTTTCATACCTAAGCAGTTAAGCATAGTTAGGTAATTACAAAATACTCTGAAAAATAACAATTGTCTTCATCATGTTAGTAATGTATTGTGCTATTATTTCAATAAATCTTTTTAAAAAATTTGCTTGCATTTTTTCTATTTTTTAAATTTTATTTGTTTTAATTAGTTATACATGACAGTAGAATGCATCTATTCACTTTGATATATCAAACATAAATGGGGTATAATTTCTCATTTTTCTGATTGTACATGTTGTAGAATCACATCAGTCATACAGTCATATATGTACATAATGTAATAATGTCTGTTTCATTCTACCATCCTTCCTATTCCTGTATCTCCTCCCTTCCCTTCACTCTCCTCTGCCTAATAAAAAGTAACTCTATTCTTCCCCAATGCCCCCACCCCCTTATTGTGAATTAGCATCCACATATCAGAGAAAACATTTGTCCTTTGGTTTTGGCTTATTGGCTTATTTTGCTTAGCATGATATTCTCCAACTCCATCCATTTACTTGCAAATGCCATAATTTCATTCTTCTTTAAAGCTGAGTGATATTCCACTGTGCATTTGTACCACTTTTGGGGATTTTTTTTTTGTGTTTTTTTTAAAATTCGTTCATCTATTGAAGGGCACCTAGGTTGGTTCCATATTAATTGAGCTGATATAAACATTGACATGGCCATATGACTGTAGTATGCTGATTTAAACCTTTGGGTCTAAAACTAGGTGTGGAATAGCTGGGTCAAATGGTGGTTCCATTCCGAGTTTTCTGAGAAATCCCCATACTGCTTTCCACAGTGGTTGAACCAATTTGCGTTTCCACCAGTAATGTATGAGTGTGCCTTTTCCCCCACATCCTCACCAACATTTATTCTTGTCTGTGTTCTTGATAATTGCCATTCTTACTGGAGTGCAATGAAATCTTAGTAGTTTTGATTTGCATTTCTCTCATTGCTAGAGATGTTGAACATTTTCTCATATATTTGTTGATCAATTGTATTTCTTCTTCTGTGAAGTGTCTGTTCAGTTTCTTAGCCCAATTATTGATTGGGTTATTTGTTTGCTTTGTTTTGGTTTTGTTTGTTTGTTTGTTTTGGTGTTAAATTTTCTGAGTTTTTTATATATCCTAGAGATTAATGCTTTATCTAAGGTGCATGTGGTAAAGATTTTCTCCCAATCTGTAGACTCTCTCTTCACTTTATTGATTGTTTCTTTTGATGATAAGAAGTTTTTTAGTTTGTGCATTTGGTAAATATTTTCTCCAAATCTGTAGGCTCTCTCTTCACATTATTGATTGTTTCTTTTGATAAGAAGAAGTTTTTTAGTTTGAATCCATCCAATTAATTGATTCTTGGTTTTATTCTTGCCCTTCAGGGTCATGTTAAGGAAGTCAGAAGCTAGCCAACATGGGGAAGATTTGGGCATAATTTTTCTTCTAGAATGGACAGGATCTCTGTTCTAGTGCCTAAGTCTTTGATTCACTTTGTGTTTGATTCACTTTGAGTTTCATACAGGGTGAGAGATAGAGGTTTAATTTCATTTTGTTACATGTGGCTTTCCATTTTCCCCAGCACCGTTTGTTGAATAGGCTATCTTTTCTCTAGCGAATATTTTTGGCACCTTTGACTAGTATGAGATAACTGTGTTTGTGTGGGTTTGTCTCTGTGTTCTATTCCTTACCATTTGTATATGTATCTATTTTGGTGCCAATACTATGTTGTTTTTGTACTATAGCTCTGCAGTATAGTTTAAGGTCTGATATTGTGATACCTCCTGCTTCACTTTTCCTGTTAAGGATTGCTTTAGCTATTCTGGGTCCCTTATTTTTCCAAATAAATTTCATGATCACCTTTTATGTTTCTATAAAAAATGTCATTGGTATTTTAAAAGGAATTGCAGTCAATCTGTATAACAGTTTTGGTAGTATGGCCATTTTGACAATATTAATTCTGCCTATCCAGGAGCATAGGAGATCTTCCTATCTTCTAAGGTCTTTTTCAATTTCTTTCTTTAGTGTTCTATAGTTTTCATTGTAGAGGTCTTGTACCACTTCTGTTAGGTTAATTTCCAAGTTGTTTTTGGTTTTGGTTTTATTTGAGGAAATTGTGAGTGGGGTAGTTTTCCTAATTTCTTTTTCAATGGATTCATCCCTGATATATAGGAATGTGTTTGATTCATGGGTATTGATTTTATATCCTGCTACTTTGCTGAATTCATTTATTAGTTCTAGAAGTTTACTGGTGAAATTTTTTGGATCTTCTAAGTATAAAATCATGTCATCAATAAATCATGTCATCAAATAGTTTGAGTTCTTCTTTACCTATTTCTACCATGTGGCCTGCGCAATGGTTTCATTAATGAGGTTCTAGGCATAAAGTTAGTTAGAAGAGATCGAAATAAAACACACAGACTCAGTTACCTTATTTCTATTGCCAGGTCCGAGACGGCTCCCCTCTCTGGCTCCGACCTCTAACCGCCCAGCAGGGCAGCAAGGATTACTCAGGGCTAGCAGGAGAGAGAGAGAGTGAACACGCCAGGGAGTAGCCTTTTATTGGGGAACAAGAAATTCAGGGGATAATTCCATCCAATGAAGGTTGAGGGGGGACAGCACTCCAAGGTCAGGGTCAGTGATTGGGCCCCCGGGGTCAGTGGTCAGTCACACCCCCACACGGACGGGTTCTCTCATCAGGAAAGGGCCGGGAAAATTCCGACACAGCCAGAAGCCTCAGACCCTTAACGGGAGTCGCCCAGTCACGTGTCAGGATGGCTTCCCACACCTATTTGTATACCTTTAATTTATTTCTTCTAACTGCTCTGAATAGAGTTTCAAGGACAATGTTAAATAAAAGTGGTGAAAGAGAGCACCATTGTCTTTTTCCAATTTTTAGAGGGAATGCTTTCAATTTTTCTCCATTTATAATTATGCTGGCCTTCAGTTTAGCATATATAGCTTTTATGATGTTGAAGTATGTTCCTACTATCCCTAGTTTTTCTAGTGTTTTGAACATGAAATGGTGCTGTATTTTGTCAAATGCTTTTTCTGAATCTATTAAGATGATCATATAATACTTGTTTTTAAGTCTATCAATATGATGAATTATGCTTTTTGATTTCTGTATGTTTAACCAACCTTGCATCCCTGGGATGAACTCCACTTGATCATGGTGCATCATCTTTTTAATATATTTTTGTATGCAATTTTCCAGAATATTGTTGAGAATTTTTGCATCTATGTTCATCAGGAATATTGGTCTGAAGTTTTCTTTCCTTGATGTTTTTGTCTGGTTTTGGTATCAGGATGATTTTAGCCTCATAGGATGAGTTTGGAAGGGTTCCCTCCTTTTCTATTTCATGGAATACTTTGAGGAGTATTGATGTTA